AGAAGAGAGCGTGCTATGCCACGTCGCCGTTGGCGACCTACAACCCTCCATATTCCCAATCAAATATAAAGAGCAGTGCTATTTAACTTGTTTTGAACATTAAATAACAGGTCCCTTGCGGGGTGAGCTGGTAGGAACTTTTGTATTGAATGCGAAGCGTTGATTAACGGTATTGCGACGACGGCGCGTTGGCCTAGACAAAAGTCAACGCTCGACCTTCGCTGCGCTGCGGTGCGCAGACTTTTCCGGGCCAACGCGCCGTCGTCGCTTGCTGCGGTCTTCGCGCGCTTCTGCAATCCAAATGCAGCTGCATTGCGATTAGGTGCGGAAATACCTTATGTTCGACATGTGCTCTAAGAAGTGCGTCGTACTTAATTTATACAGAATCAAGTATAATGTCCCACATGTGACAGCACTTAACAGGGACGGCAAAATCGCACTTCACTGGACATGTTCCGCGTGATGCGATTGGCTTAGACCAATGCAACTGCGTTGCATTGGCCAAAATGTCGTAAATTATAGCCAATGGGTTGGCGAGAAAATACGAATTAATCCCCTGGGATGCTGGTACACCACGTAAACGTTCCTACCAGGAAAAATCGCCATGTCGAGCACGGTTGCTGCGTCATAGCTCTGCGCCAGGATAGTTTGCGACGTACTACATACCAGTGCCACTATGTTGCTTGTGCGAAGGATACGCGTATGAGAGGTGCTTGCGAAGTTGTTTCTGGTGCATTCGACGAGCCCAACACGTCCACTACTTACAAATCGAGGCATTCATTAAGCAGTTGGTCATGGTACCCATTGAGCTGTACTAGTACCCCGGAATGTCCTCTCAGTCGTGGCTTGGACTGCGCGCGGTCACTGTGCCTGCCGGAATCGTTCGACTTCAGTGACAAACTATCGCTGGCAGTTGGGCCGGCCACACAAGTCAAACCTTGACGACTAGAGTTGATGACGTACCGCATCGAAAAACATACTCTTGCAGATTCCGTACGGACCCACTGCGCACTCTTGTGCTGCACGTGCTCAAAGGCTTCGTCTGTCGGCGTTTCTTGGCTATGGCATTGGCCCATGCATTACAATCTTATCAAGTTGATAGTTATATGCAATCAAACCAAGAAAGAGGGTTGCTCTCTACTCGGTTGTTGTAGATCCGTCAGCAATTTTTTGCCTTTTTCACTAGTAGGTACTGGACCGATAGCATAAAAAATCCTCTCTGACTAATTTTTATCAGGCCTTCATGGACCCCCACCATCGGGCCATTGTGTGCCGCCACCAAAGGCTTGCTTTCTGAGTCGCGCGGAAGATTTTGCGGCCGCTTTTTGATGAGATAGTCCACGACGTTCAAGTGCCCGGCACTTGCCGCTCGTGCCGCTGCGCTCACGGGGCAGCCTTCGGATCGCGCGTCGAGTAGGAACCGGACGACACGGAGATGGCCGTTGGTGGCAGCGAGGTCTATCGCGCGGCGTGAGCAGCCGCCGTTGCAGTGGCGGTGGAGCCACTGCATCGTTTCTAAGTGGCCGTTGCGCGCCGCAAAGTCCATGGCGTTCGTCGAGCAGACGTCGTCATAGTGCGTGTGGAGGTACTGGATGATCTTGAGGTGGCCACCAGCCGCCGCCTGGTCCATGAGATGGGACGGGCACGGTGCGTTGCAGACCTGGTGCAGGTAGCGCACTGCGTCAATGTTATCGGCTTCAATTATCTTGCGCAGTGCGGAAGCCGACGCGTCGAGACGTAGATGTGCCCGCAGGTACGCTGCCACCTTGTAGTGGCCATTGGCAACGGCGCCGTCGACAGCCGCGCAACTGCCGCCTTCACGCCGGTGCGTGGCGAGCCACTGCACGATATGCAGGTGACCATTGGTCGCGGCCAAGTCCATCGCGGTCGTCGAGCACTTGTTCTTGCCAAGGACATGCAGCAACTCCAAAACGTGCAAGCGCCCGTGCGCCGCCGCCTTGGCCATGGCGCGGTCCGTCGGTGTCGTTTTCTGCAGTCCATCCCAGGACGGCGCGCTGTACAGGCTGGCTGCGTCGACGTCGTGATCGCACAAAAGACTCTGTAGTAGGTCGGTGTGGCCTCCAACGACGGCGGCTTCGGCGAGGACTCGGGGGTCGGCAATGTCGATCTCGTCCCACCAGACGTTCTCCATCGCGGCGGCGCGGAGGTGGGTGAGGACGACGCGACGACTGATGCCGCCGCGCACGCAGCTCTGAATATAATTCTTGACGTGCGCATACGTGGCGCGGAAGGAAATCGAGCGGCAGTCGTCGTACGTGATGGTCTTGGGCGGCAGCAGCGCGAAGTCGCCGCACCAGCCCTTGCGCAAGGCGTCGTGCCAAATGATGTCGGTGTCGCAGCAGGCACCGCCCGTGAGGTAGGTCGTGAGCGGACCCGCGTAGGCGTAGATGATTGAATGGACGTCTTGGATCGTGTCCCACATGTGCGGCAGTGAATACTCGCTCTCCCAGTCGGTGGCTCTGAACGACAATGGGACTGACGTGACGTCCTGAAGCCCGGTTGAGACGACCACAACCCGATGCAGCTGTGATATAGCGAGACATCGTGAAAATTTTGCTCAGTGAAAACCACTGGATTCTCATCGATGGATAGTTGACGTTGGATAGATCTTAGTAGCCAAGCCGGATCTTAGCGCGCATCAATGATATACTTCAATAATGCTGCCGAGATGATGGCACAAATTTCAACGCGCCTTGCGATCACCTATCAGCGGCATCTGACAACAGTACCGTGCGTGCAACAAAGCCCAACGCACATGATACGATTGATAAAATCTTCTAGCTCCAAGAACTGAGATGCTAGAGCCGCCGTAGCGTCGCGCAGACGTGGTCGTTGCCGCTCCACAGCGCGAGGCACCGCCAGCAAAACTCGTGCCGGCACTTGGCGCACGTCATGTGGTTGCAGCCGGCGTTGCGCTCAATGTCGCGACCGCACTGCGGGCAACTGCGAACATCGTGCGTTTTCTTCCACTGCGCGTACGCCTTGTCGACGCACGTGGGGCGGAGGTGGTACGGTCGATTGCACACGACGCAGATGCTATGGCCCGCCGAGCACGTGACGCGCCGCTTCAAGAGCCAATGCGGCGTCGACAGTACCGTGCCGCCGCAGTGGCTATACGGACACGCTGGCCGCTCGGACGCGTCATGCAACATCTTTCGGAGCGTCGCGTAGAGCTCGACGCTGAGGTGCGTCCTGAGCACATGGTCCGGCAAGATGGCGTGGCATCCCGGACAGCAGAGGTGCTTTTCCGAGACTTGGCCGCTCTCGATGCGGAGTGTCAAGTACTGGCGCAAGCATGTTTTGCAGATCGCGAGCGAGCAGTCGGTGCACGAGGTCACGGCGCGGAGACGCGGCGGTTGATTTTCGTAGCAAATGTGACACGCAAAGAGCGGTGGCGACGAGCTTGACGCGTGCGTGTACCGGTAGACGCGTGACCTTGATCGTTTGTACATCTTGTTTGCGTTGGCTAGGATGCTTATTGCAGCGGGCACAAGTATTCCAGCAGCAGCAAGCACCAGGAGGACGGCGACGCCGGTCCAGCCAAAGACCAGGTTCGCGCAGTACACCTTGACGAGGTACGCCACGAGCGCGTTGGCGGCGTCTCTCGAGCGGACGCAGAGAGAGATGACGAGCGTCGTCAAAACAAGCACGGGGACGTAGTTGCTCGGGATAAGCTCGAGGACGGCGAGCGTTGCCGCGACTGCGCTGTCCATCCTGCTTAGTTTTCGACAATGATGGCTCCCTTTGTCAATGTCCTTTCTTCGTTGTTTTGCTAATGTCTTAAAGTAGTGCTTATTTATCATTTCCGTCTCCTTACACACCACTTAGTATATACTAAAAGACGGTTGAGAGAAATATCACGTGAAGACCATCATTCTGGAATTAGATGGATTTGCGTGTCGCAGGACTACAATCCTATCTATTCTGTTAGAAAAGACAATTGGAAAGAATCTCACGTCGTGGATTGGTCGATCAAGAATTCAGCGTACTATATTGGCGAATTTGACCGATTCAGGTATCCTTGGCACTGCGAAGGCCGAGTCGCCGCGCCCACTTGCGCCAGCAGCGGTGCCGGGGCGTCCAGTCGTGGAGACAGTCGATGCAATAGTCGATCGTGCAGCGCTCGCAATGCAAATACTTGGTCGTCGCCGTCTCCAGCGGTGCGTGGCAGCGCGGACACGAGCGCTTCGAACGTGGCAGTGCCATGCACGAAGAAGCCGCCGAGCTGGTCGACGACTGGGCCTTCTTTCGCTGGAAAAAGTGCGACTTGGCTTTCCCAGGCTGTGGCTCCTCTTGCCTCAGTGTGCGTCGGTAGAGGGCGAAGATGTCGTCCGAGGTGTAGGCTTGGACCTCGGTGTGGTCGAGCGGCGTCAGACATCGGGGGTCTGGACACGTCAGCTGCGACGGCTGGACGAGCCCTTGCGACACCTTGAGAGCGACGTAGAACTGCAGGCACTTGACGCAGCACGTCGAGCTACAAACGTGGCGCCAGGCGACCGATGTTGGCGCTTCTTGCTGGCAGACGACGCAGGTCCCGAGTGTCGTCGCGACCACGACGCTTCGGCGCTTGGCAGATGCTCGCGGGAAGGGCGAGCTCGTTAGCGCGTACAGAGCTTGGACGGCGACTGCGACGGCAACCCATGCAAGGCTAGGCGCCGACCCCATGGTTTCTATATGACGGTTGACTGCGTCCACATCGAAGATCGCAATAGCGCCTTTCGATTGGTCAGCGATGACGGTTGGAGAAACTCCTTCATAATGCTCACGAGATGCCTTGGATCCAGAGATTGACACGGGTCGAAGGTGTGCAATTATCTAGTCGTAACGCTGTGCCATCTGCAAACCAAGATATGCTCCTGTGATTTCATTGGCCGTGGTTCATATCGCGATGTCCTTCTCGGCCTGTGCCAGCGCCGACGTCCGCGCCGCCCTCGCCAAGGCCTGCGCCGACCTCACGCGCGACGAGCGGCTCGAGCCGCTGGACGTCTACCGGCGGCTCGCGCAGGAGGCCAAGGTCGTCTACGACACGGAGAAGACCAAGCTGCGCATGACCGAGCACCCGCTGACAGCCGACGTCGCCTTGTCGCACCCGGCGCTCGTCGATTTTAGCGTCGAGGCGCTCGAGACGCTCGTCGACGCCGAGCGCAACACGATGACCAAGGCGGTCGTCGTCTACGTGCCGCCGGCGGCGGCGGCGAAGAAGAAGCAAAAGACCAAGGAGCACCTCGAGGTGAGTTTTAGCTACGACCGCCGGTACGCTGGCGAGCCGTTTGGCACGACCCTCGCCTTCACGCTGAGCGTTGCCTTGGGCTACGGCAAGAAAATGACGCTGCTGCACATCGTCTTGCGCTTCTCGGGCCACTACCCCGCCAGCTACTATCAGAAGAAGGACGACGACGAGATCGCTCCGCCCACGGACGATGACGAGAACGAGGATGCGACACCGCCATCCGACCAAGGCGAGGAAGGCGCCAGCCAAGGCGAGGAAGAGGCCGAGGAAGAAGCTGAAGATAACGATGGCGACGATGACCAAGAGGACGACGAGGAGAACGCGGACGGTGGCGATGACGACGAAGACGGCGAAACGCAGGAGCTGCATGTGCTCGGCCCCGACGAGAAGGACTGGGAGTACGTCGAGGAGTTTGAGTTCCATGAGGACGTCTTCGAGACGTTCCACACGTGGTTTGGCGGCGACCTCTCGCACCAGGACTTCCTCACGTTCATGCTCGCGTTCCCGTTCACCGAGGACGAGTACATGGTCGACGACCGCGTCTTTGACCTCGTCTTCAACGGCGAGGACTCTGACGCCGAGAGCGATGCATAAGAGAATACTGTGTTAAATAGAGGTTGTTAGATACAAAAACTAGGCTGTCGTGATGTGTACACCAATGATCTGCGACAGCTTGTCTTGGTGCGGCTTGGGCAGCTTGTAGACCGAGTCGAGCATCGACGGCCCGAGCGCCTTGTAGAGCGATCGCAGCAGCTGGTGGTTGGCGTCGCGCACGTCCGTCTTGCTCTCTTTGATCAAGTCGAGCGCCAGCGGCAGCACGTGCCTGTAACTGCTCTAGCTTTGAGAACGTAAGAGTAGAGTGTACCTGTGGATGGCCGACTGGGTCGTTGTAAGCGCTGCGTCCTGCGTGAGGCGGTCGAGCTTGAGGAGCATGCCGGGCTTGACGCGAGCGTTGCCGACCTTGGTGACCGACACAAAGTGCTGCACGAGCAGCTTGGCTTCGACGTGCGCGCACAAAAGATCCAACGCGCCGTCGGCCAACTGGGCAACCTACGGATGCCGTGAATGTTGAACGTCAATCTCAAAATTAATTTTCGACTTTTTGATTGTTGGCGGCGAGGCTGCGTGTCAAGATGGGCACGAGGTTGGCGAGGACGGCGTCGAGGCCGTTGCCGAGCGCAGGAATGATCGCCTGCAGCGTCTCGAGGGCGAACACGTTGACCTACTCATTATGACAACTCTCTCCCCAATCAGACCGACAACCTTGGCGTTGCCGTCGTCGAGGCGCTTGTTGAGCCCGTCAAACACCTGCAGCACTTTGCCGCTTTGGCACAAGCCTGGCGCGTGCTTGAGGACGAGCGCCTGCACCTCTTCGAGGGCTTCGAAACGCTCCTTCCAGTTGCTGCTCTCGAGCTGTTTGTTGAGCGTCGGGATCTTGTCAAAGTCGGCGACCACCATCGGTTTGTACTTGGTCGCGTCCTTCTCACTGCGCGTGCGCGCGAGTGGCTTGGCGACTTGGTCTTTGGGGGCGGGCGCGTTCGAGAGCACTTGCTCGACGCGGGTGACGCAGGATGCCGGGCACAGCTTCCGGAGCCGCGCGGCGTCGAGCGCGCCGAGGTGCCGCAGGTCGAGCAGCGTTGGCTTGGCGACATCGCGGACTTCGTTGTTCGAGTCGTTGACGAGACTGCAGACGGACATGATGACGCGGTCGACGTCACGCGCCACGTCGAGGCGTCCATCCGAGAGGAGCTTTCCGAGCATGATAGCCACCTGCACAAACTGAAAATCTATCAATCTATCAAGTCGATACCTGTTTGCGAATGATGTGATTCTTGGACGCAACGTGGGGAAGGACAGCGCTGAGAACGCGCGGCGCTGAGCACCCGCGGACGACCGCATCGAGCGTCTGCGCACCCGACTCGGAGAGGAAGACGTTCGTGTCGGCCGCGCGCTTGAGCAGCAGCGGCACGACGTCGTCCAGGTCCGTGTCCATGCGCTTCCCGAGGTACAGGCAGAGCGTCTCCACCGCCAGCATCCCGTTCTTGGCGACGGCCGATCGGAGGTTGCCAATGTGCGTGCACACGAGCTTGAGGAGGCTCGGAAAGCCCGCGTTGCCAACGACCTCCGGTACGTGCACGCAGAGCCGGCGGAGGTCCGTGAGTCCTTCAAACTGGTTTTCCCACTCGGCGCTCTGGAGACGACCGAGGCACGGCGCCATGTCGCTCTTCATCAGCGGATACGCGTCGAGCTCGGACGTGGCGACGTACTCTTGCTTGCCGGCCCGAAGCGCCAATTTGAGGTCGTCGCCCGTCTTGAGCTTGGCGTTGCGTGCCGAGACGGGCGCGGCGACCAGCGCTGCCTCGTCCTGCTTTTGCTTGGCTTCGAGTCGCTTACGTGTGGCGAGCGTCATGACCTTGGGCTTTGCCGGGGCTTCGGTGGGTGTCTCGGGCTCGGGCTCGACCACGGTCGCAGGTGGTGGTAGGGCTTCTTTGGCCTGGACGCGCTTGGCCGTGGCAAGCGAAATCGGCTTACTCGCGCGAACCGGCGGCGCCGCGTCAACAACGGCGTCGTCGCTCTCGTACACGTTGACGCGCATCGGTTTGATCGGACGGTCTTCGTCGTACGGTCGCGTTGCACACAGAAAGCGGTCCTCGGTGGGCGAGTGGGCCACGGGCGTTCCTGCCTTTTGGTTGCGCTCGGGCGGCCGGAGACCGTCCGGAGGCGTCGTTCCCCGCTTCTTGTTGAGGCAGCGCTGCTTGAGCACCGTGAGGCTCTTGGCAATGTGCTCGGCCGACTGCTGCGGGCTCACCTCGGCCTTGGGCTGACGTGGCGGCACCGTCGGCGGCGGCGCCTTGGGCGTTTTGGCCTCCGGTAGCCATAGCTTGGTCTTGTCTTCGCCATCGCCACGCCCGAGCAAGCGCGGCCCTGACGCCTCGAGAAACGGCACGTCGCGCTGCACAAGACGGCGTTGGAGCTGGCCCGTGTCGAGGCCGTCGGCTTGGGCGTCCGCGTTGGCCATAAGCAGCTGCACGATTGGGACGGCGCACACGTGGGCGAGGACAGCTGCTAGGTCGAGTGCGGCCGTGCGCACGACTGGGCTCGGGTCGCAGAGGGCGCGGCCGAGGTGTAGGACGGTACAGGCCGCCGACGGCTGCCCGTCGCGCGGCTGGCGCAAGGTCGCGATGGTCCAGAGATGTAAAGCGGCTTCGCGCACCTTACAGCTGCCGTGCTGCAGCGCTGGCACAAGCGTCTTGAGGAGTGCACCGACGGGGCACGCACCCAACACAATGTGCACGAGCTCGCGTCGAGCCCCGGGGTCCGCTGTGTCGGCGAGGACTGTCGCCAGCATCGGCGCGAGTACCGAGACGACCTCGGCGAGGTACGTGCCCATGGAGCGGCAGAGCCCCTCAAGGAGCGTGAGTGCTCGGTCTCGCGCCGGCGATCGCTGCGCGCAGAGGTGCGCAAGGAAGCCAAAGAGGTGCAGCCACTCGCTCCGCGCACTCGAGAGCTCTCCGGATGAGAGCGGCGAGAGGGTGCGGCCCAAGAGATCCATGGCAGTCGGCGGTGCTTCGCTCGGACTTCGCAGCGCCTCGACGATCCACTTGGGCACGAGCCCAAATTGCAGCTGGTCGTCCGACGCGACGCCAATCGTCGGGCTGTTGGACGAACCGATAAACTGCTGGATGTAGTCGGCGTGCTGGGCCAAGATGGCGCGGTCGCGGCTGCTCAGCGTCTGCAGGAGCTTTTGGAACTGCTTCTGGCCGACGTGCGCTTGAAGCCACGCGACTGCGTCTTCGGCCGCGACGACGCAGCGCTCTTCGTCGTCCTCCATCGCAGGGATGAGCACCTCGAGCACCATGGCCCAGCTCACGTCGCCCGGCAGCGTCGTCGTCGCGTTGCGCTGCAGGAGCGTCTTGAGCGCCCCGACCGCACCTTCACGGACCGCGCCGTCTTCGTGGTTTAAGCCCTGGTTCATGAGGAGGTCCATGACGCTCTGCAGACTCGAGGTATGCTGCGCGTACACCCAGAGCACGTGCAGCGCCGAGTGCGGGAACGCCGCCTCGTCGTCCCACTCGGGGTCCAGCGGCAGCATCGGCAGCATCTGCGGCAGCACGATCTGGTACAAATGCACAAGGTTCTCGGCGCCAATGACCGGCACGAGGTCGCACACAAACTGGAGCGCCTCGGCCACGATGCGCGGCTCGGCGTCATGGAGGCGGCGCCGGACGCAGTTGAGGAACCGCCGCGCGTTGCGCACCGGGAACGGCGCCGGCCGCAGCTGCAAGGTCGCCGCCAGCTCGCGCAGCCGGCGAATCGCTTCGAGCTTGACGCTCGGCTCGTCGTCCTCCATCTGGTACACGAGCGTATCCACCGAGTCCATGTGGGCGGATCCGCGCCTCCTCGAAAGTGACCAAAATTAGACTGCGCTGTATTTAGCCTCGCGCCTATTTCAGTCGGCCGCCACCGTAGCGATGCGCCCGCCGAGGGGGCTACGTCCAGCGGGCAGAGGCTAGCGTCCAGCGGGCAGAGGCCAGCGGCAGCAGAGGCCAGCAGCAGAGTCTGCCGTGCCAAGCTACTCGTGTGTCGCCACGGCAACGGGCGCATCCGGATAAGCGTGCGGAACGGAAGCAAGCAGTGTGGGAAGATCGAGCACGTGCTGAACCCATGGCACTTCTGTGGACGATGGCGCTGGTCGCGGCCGCGGCCGCCCGCCCAGTGTACGAGATCCCAGCCTTTGACGTCGCGACGCTGGTCGCGCACAAGGCGCCGCTGGTGGCGGCCCTCGAGGAGCACGGCCTTGTGGCGTTCAAGGGCCTCGACGGCTTTGCGGCGACGCGGACGACGTACCTGCGCGAGGCCTTTCGCTGCATGCAGGTGCACCCCGATATGGACTTTCTCCAGCACAAGACGCTCTCGGACGGTACGACGCGCGACACGATCAGCACCAACGCCAAGGACGAGCTGCCGATGGCGAGCCTCTGCCCCGCATACGCCGCTGCCCACCACGCATACATGGGCTTGATGCAGTCGGCGACTGAGGCACTGGGCATCGCACTGGACGTGCCGTCGAGCGAGCATGCGTCGGTGGCCACGTCGATGCGAGCGATCGCCGAATCGGGCAAGCACCTCGATCATGTGCACAAGTACCTCGCTCCGGCCTCGCCGTCCAGCCCAGGTTCGCGTCGCGCTCTGTCTTTGCGTTTCCAACAGTATGTGCGTAGAGACGCTGTCGCTGGAGCTGCACACGGACAATGGTCTCGGGCTCCTCACGTCGGTCCCGCTCTTCTTTGATCGCGACGGCAACCAAGTACAAGCCGAGACCACGGGCCTCGAGGTCGAGCTCACGCTGGACGGCGTCGTCCAGCGCGTGGCCCCGCGCCTCAAGGCGGATGAGTTGGTGCTCATGATTGGTGAAGGCTTCAATCGATGGGGCAACTTTGGCCACCGTTTCCCGCCGGTCGTGCACGGGATGAAGATGCCAGTCTCGATGGACGCGTCGGTCGCGCGCGTCTTCTCGGGGCGTATGTTGCTCATGCGCGCTGACGACCGCCTCGTCCACGCTGGCCTCTCGTTCGACGAGTACGCGGCGGCCACGACACGCCACCTCCTCGAACCAAGCGCCAACTTTGCGTCGCTCGCGTGTCCGACTGGCCGCAGCCTCCTCGCCTCGGACCTGAGCTGCACGCTCGGCCTTTGGGTACGACTGACACGCCGCCTTCTATAATTCTAAGGGCACTTGCATTAGGTCCCGTCGAACGCCAGTGATCCAAGCACCACCAAGGCGCAGTGCATGCGCCACTGCAACAGTCCCAACATGCGGAATGAGGTCGAGCAGTGCGCGCATCTCAAGTGCGTCAAGACGGGTGACGTGCCCCACGGCGGCACCGTGTGCTGGATGCTGTGCGTCGAACATCTGCCCGACTGCGCAGCTGACGCCCAGACGTGCTTGCCCGACCAAACGCTTGTGTGCCCGGCCGCCATGGCCGCAGCTCCGACGCAACGCCTCTGGATGTTGGGGCTCCTCGGCGCGCTCGGCGTGCTCGTTCTCGCGCTGGTCGTGCGCCACTGGCGCCACCGCCGCCGGCATGCGCAGCGCCGCAGCTCGCTGGCGCCCACGGAGGCGAGCTCGCTCTTGGCCTAGCCGGACGTTCGGGTTCGCTCGTTCGAACGTCGTCGTGTGGGTGGCAATTGCCGTAACCAAGTTGCTTTTTGCTTTTTTCTTGCGTTCGATTGGCGGAAGGGCAGACATGCGGACTTGGCTTGGCGAACGCGGTATGTTGAGGGCCCACTGAGTGCCACTTGGAGCGGCCAGAACTGACTGCCAGAACTGATTGCCCTCTCCTCAAGAGTACGCGCTGGAGTTGCCAGAGCTACAGGTCAAAGGTACTCGTTGATCTCGCTCGCGGTCGGGTACAGATGTGCAGAACGCGCGCGGGTCTCGGCCGGTTCGTCCAGCGTGTTCGGCGCACCTTCTCCGCTCCGCAGGTCGCTGGCCATATCACGTGTCATTGACGCAGCGTTCGAAGCGAAGTAATGCGCTGCAAGTTGTTCTTCACTTGCACAGATGCGCATTGCAGCACGGACGCTCGGCCTCGCCGTCGTCGCGGTCGTCGTCGCCGCACCTGTCGTCGCTGGTTCGCTCCTCGTGGACATTGCCGCCACCGTCACTGGCCTCGCCGCGCTCCTCTGGCTTCGGGCTCTGCAAACTACGGTTGCCCATGACCGAAACATCACGCTACTGCGCCCGGCGTCGTCCGCACACTTGGCACCGCTCCGCAAGCACTCTCAAGGCGAGAGCCCGCGAAGCAGCTGCCCTTCATCGTCCATGCTCGTCAAGACGCCGTCGTCCACAAGCCGCGCCTGTCCCCGCTGCCACGCCCTGCTGCCGGCGTCCGACCACGTGTGGTGGTCCAAGCGGCGGCTGCGCTGCACGACCTGCAAAGCGGCGTGGTGTCTCGCGTGCGCGGGGACTTATCATTTTTTCCCGCGCTGCCATCGACGCTCGGCCAGTGTCTTTGCCAAGCCAAGCGTCTAGTTCCTTTGTGTAATCTATTAGTATGATAGTAGTTGTTTCAGTCGATCTATTCTTGCCTCGGCCTCCGAGATGGGCCAGCTCGTGTCCAAGGCGCCCCAGTACCGCTCCGAGAGCGACCGCTTGGAGCTCCAGGGACGCTACGTCGTGCACACGGCTCTTGCCTACTATGGGACCTTCTACTGGATCTGCCCGGCGTTCGAGATGATCGCTGGCGACGCGGTGCCCCTTGGCATGCTCTGCCGCGTCTTCAACTTGGCCTTCCACGCCGCCTACGTCGGCCTCCTCCTCCCGTACCTCATTGGTATCCTCTTGGACGCGGAGGGGTACTTTTACCATCTGCCGTCGAGCCTCGCCTCGTGGACCTTCCGCACCTGCATCACAGGACCGGTGCTCTGGGCGCTGCCGTGGGCCGTGCTCTGGCCATTCATGCTTCTCATCGCCATCGTCACCAAGCACTTTGAGGAAGCCAAAACCAATGCGCGGTCGGTAGCAGAGACTGTTGATGCTCTCGAAGCGACGACAGAGACAACAGAGAAGGCAGAGACGCCCGTGCCTGCGTTGACACCCATGGTAGCCGTCGAGGCGCCCAAGGCGCCAGCGAAGACCCCGACCAAGTCGTTGGGAAAGCTCATGCTCTCTTGGCTCACGCCGTCCAAGCGGTCGCCGCGAAAGCGCTTTGGGAAACCGAGCTCGAAAGAACATACAACGCGCGAGTCGGCCGATACCAACTGAGGGCACTTGATACGTAGTTGATAAGGTGTCGCCGACAATGATTTCTGAGCGAACTGGGCCAATAGAGCCTGGGTCTCTGGCATGCTGTGTTCGTATCAACTACGTGTCAAGTACGTACCGTCATTTGCACGTCGTGTGTTCTTTCGAGCTGCATTAGTACACTTCAATTCACTTCGTTCTCGATACCTCATTGCGTCATGGGCCAAGCCGAGTCCACAACCCAGTACCTCCCGTCAGGCGAATCGATCGCACTGTGAATCCTCTACATCGCGTACACGGCGATGGCGTATTTCATTTCCTTCTCGTGCATCTACCCCATCCTCGAGGCGGTTGCGGACAACGTGTCCTTGCATCTGGCTTCTCTTGATGGCCTCGCGTGTTCTGCACGTCGGTGCCATCATTGTGTGCATCGCCAGCGCTCTCGCCTACAGGGAGTCTTCATCCTCTTCACAACCCCCGAACATTGTCGACAAATTGGGCATCCTGATGCTCTACATGCTCATCTTTGGGTACGCGCTTGTGCTGCCATGGTTGCCCATTTTCATTCTATTTGCGCCGCTTGCCATTACTCTATATATCGCGTGCAAGGGAGCCAAGTAAATGTAAGACCAAGGAGCGACGACCGAGGCGACGGCAGCTGTCGAGCATACGCCACCGCCGGTGGTGCGGTGGCCAACACGCCTCTCTGGCCAGAGGAGCGGCCAGTGCCTGATCGCCAACAATGCAGTAAAATCTAGTCACGTTCCAGATGTCGTCCACGGCGCGACAATTACACAGTTGGTGATCGGGACCTCCAGACCCTGCTACACATCACGCTGTACTGCGTCCGCACATGTGACACCGCTCCGGAAACACGCTCAAACGGAGGGACGACAAAGCAGCAGCCATCCATCAAGGGTCGCCAGGACGCCGACGTCGACATATATTAGCCGACCCTATCCGAGCTGCCACACGCTGCTACCAGTGTCGACGCCCGGTCATGTGCGGTGGGTGGTCCAAGCGGCGGCTGCGCTGTGCAAAGCGGTAATCTGGAATGGGGAATTCCCTACGGATAATATAGTTTCTTATCCGTTCAAACGAGCATTGCACGGGGTTGTTGGCAGGTTGCTGGTCAAAATACGGTAAAAATCAAGTTGAGCGCAAAAGTCGCATCGAATTTATTTGCCTTGAGGAAGCTGCAGAGGATATGATTCCCGCTGGAGCCTCCAGATGGAGTTGCCAAGATCAATGACGTGCCATGCCCTGGCGACAAAACTGAAAAGTCTCCTGTTCTAGGTCTTGGCTACTGATAGAAAACGTATCAAACAACTGGCCAACATATCCTCTTCCAACCGCTGAATTGCATTTGTCAAATCCAAACGCAAACCTCGAATTCATTTTGCAATGGGCCAAGCCACGTCCAAGCCCGTGGGCGAGCGCCGCGCATTCATCGAGTCACTGGCGCTGCTTGTTAGCTACACTGTGTACACGGCCTTTTCGTACTACGTCACGTTCACGTGGTTGGTCCCGCTCGTGGACGGCATGTTTGGCGATGTGTTTATCCTCGGTGCGCTCTGCCGCGGCTACTCGACGGTCGTCTACTTCGCCTATCTCGGTGTCCTCCTCCCGTACGTCGCTACCGTCGTCTTCAACAAGGACGAATGTTTCTACCGCATTCCGACGAGCATGGTCTCGGGGCATGGCTCCAACGATACGACCACGTGGCTCATTACTCTTCCATGGCTCGTGGTGTGGGTCGCGTTTTTCATCCTTGGATGCGTCGTCGCTCCGGAGAAAGGCCGTGCGATACAAGTGACAGCGGCAGTACCCAAGCCGCCAACACCCGTGAAACCGGTGGCGCTGCCGCCGCCGCGCCCGATACCACCCCCAGCACAAATGCAAGAAAAGAAGATGTCGCTTGGCGAGAGAATCCTCAGCGCGCTTCTCTCACCACTTTTAAACGCTTTTGTGAGCGGCGTTTTGAAGGACATGGAGAAGCGGAGCCTCAAAGCCAATGCAGACCGAGCCGCGTCGTCACGTGGGGCCACGTCGGCGACGGTTGAGCCACCGGTGCCGACACCAAAGGCGAAGGAGCCCAAGAAACCGCTACGGAAGCGGGTGCTCTCGTGGTTCAAGTCGTCGTCCAAACGATCGCAACCCAGCGGCGAAAAGGCGACGACCAAGTGACTGCGATCGTTCCCACTCGGTTGCCCGTAGATAGATTGACAGACAGAAAACACTGGGTTATTGATTCCGATCAATACACTTGCATTGTACACCTTTGTCTCTTAGCTAGTCATCGAGCCCTGAAGGCCGTGGACGATCCGAGAAGGCGTTGTGATACGATGTCATAACACGTATACATTCGTCGATCTTTCTGCTCGTTACGTCCATCCATTGAGGTCTACGTACACTGAGCTGTGACGCAGTCGTTGCAAGGGCACCGCTGAGAGCACGTAATTTCTTCCCGAACACTACAACGAACGACGAGTCGGATGCCAGGTCGGACTGGACCGGCACTTTTGTCGCAAATCGGGTTGTGACCACAACCTCAATAGACACCTCGCGTGACATTGAATGGCCCTCGAGGCGCCAGCAGAACCACGACTGCCGAGCAATCAAGTGTTCTTAATCAAGGCTCTTGATTCAAAGCCGACAAAAAGGATCAACTGAATACCATCATTCTCGGAGAGTGCAGACCGGTACCGTAGTACTGTACAGCTGCCGTGCACGGAGTCTTGTTGCGCAAGCTCGGCGCCAAGGCTACTCGGGCCTAATCATTCGGCTCAATCGGGCTTTCGGGGGCGTTCGATCGCATTCCGCTGCTCTCGTCCGCGCAGTTGGGATTGGAGGCGCCTCGTCGCACTTGCCAGCGACCACAACCCACGATCACCCCGCCCGCCGGATGATGCGCCCGATTGTGCTCCCCTCCACTACCCCCTACTCGTAGCAGTCCGTTTATTACACTTGATTTTGGTATGTAATATATATTAGGGGTACCTAGAAAATGCAGATTCGGACCCACTCAAATGTCCCAGCGCACCTGCCTCAGGAAACGTTGAGGGTTGAAGGCGTGAGTAGCTCGACCATTCTGCATCTGCCATGGCCTCACCCTCGTCCAGCCCGCTCACGCTGGGCTATCGCTTCGCGGCCAAGGGCCTCGACCCCGCGCGCGCGTCGCCCGCCATACCCGTCGTCGCTGTCCTGCTCTACGTCCTCTACTGCGCGCTGGCCTACGTCGTGACCTTTGACGTACTCTTGGTCCGGCTCCGGACGCTTCTCGCCTTCGGCGCCGCTCTCGATGCAGTGGCAGTCGCGGCCAAAATCGGCTACGTCTTTGTGGGCATGCCGATGCTGTACCGCCACATCACGCAGGCCGAAGAGGGCACCGACCACGCGCCGGCGCTCGACGCGTGCCTGCTTCTTCTAGCCCCGTGGGCGCTCCCGCTCACCTTTCTCTACGCAGCGACGATGCCGCTCCAGTCGCTCTATGGCCTCTGCAAGCCGCCGCCGCCGGTTCTTGAGAAGCCATCGATCGAGTACCAAGCAATGACCGAGTGCAAGGTCTGCCTCGAGTTCTACACGGCCGAGAAGCTGGCTGCGTACTGCGATACGTGCACGACGCCGTGCTGCATCGCGTGCTTCAACAACTACCTCGAGCACCGGCTGACGTCCAACGAGACGCTGTGCTGCCCGGGCTGCAAGAACCACCTCTCACCAAACCTCCTCGCCTCCAACGCTATCTCCTTCGACACACGCGAGGCGTGCGCCGCCCACTGCCTCACGCAGGACGAGCAACGCATTTGTCCTCGCTGTCACCAGTTGGCGCGCAAAGGAAGCCTCCGGAAGCGCCGGGTCATTTGCGACGCGTGCAAGACCACGTCGTGCGCCGACTGCGGCAAGGACTACCACCTACTGCCGACCTGCCGCGACAAAGCCTTCGAGCGCTACTGCCGCGAGACCGGCGTCAAGCGCTGCCCGGGCTGCAGCCGGCTCGTGCAAAAGGCTGATGATGCGTGCGACCACGTAACGTGCGTCAAGTGCCTC